AAACTGAGCTATGAGGTGTGATAAGAATATAATTATATTAACATTTTGCAGCTCCATGGTACTTCTGAAGTACTCAGGGGCTGACATACTGAAACTCTGGATCCAGAACTGTAGGGTATATGGGTTCAGAGACTTGTTTTCTTTTATATTTTTTTCTGGTCAGATTATTCCTTTTATTTTTTCTCCTTAGTCACTTGCTCAAGTCAAATATACAAGTTGTATCTGTCTGAAGTTGTTCTTATATACAAGCTCATGTAAAACATGTTCAAACTGTTGTACTAATCTAAGTAAGATTATCAAGTTTTGACATGATTCTAAATACAGAAATTTGCACACACAAAGTGACATTGAGAAGGGTAAGCAAGACTTATAATACTCACCAAGCAGTTGATTTTTACATTCATATGGGTCACTTTTTTTTTAAAAAAAAATATTAACAATTGCAATATACACATGAAACAAATTTTTTTATGATAGAGCAACCACAAACAATGAAAAAAACAATCAGAAATGTGGTAAAGACAGACAAGTAAAAATACAAGGATGCAGCCGAGAGACTGAAAGAAAACAAACAGAGAAAAGAGATACTCAAACAGCATGTTTTTTATAGAGTTTTTTATATCATAGAGCACCCACAAACAATTACACAACAATCAGAAATATGGTAACGGCAGACAGGGAAATAGATCAGAGATACAATGAAAAAGCACAGTAACAAGAGAAAAGGGGAAAAATAAAAGAAGTAACAGATACCTCCTCTCATTGCCATTCATTCCATTCAAATGGTTGTAAGGCATCCTGCCATGCATCCCTCGCATCATCCTCCTCTTCAAACATTTCAGTATCTCCATCAACATCCACCTTCAACTTGTTCTCATCCAAAAATTCCTCCTCATCATCATCTTCATCCTCATGCCCACTTGTATCACCTTTCCTGGGTAAGATGCTTGAAGAATGCATTGGCATTTGTGCTGCAGTACTTGAGTGCCTTCACAATGTAGCATTGATGGGTTTTGCTATACTCATCATCACTATGCACATCAATTGGAGAAATGAGATCTAAATACCGCTGCTTGTAGCCTTGATTGGTGGCAAATTTGATTTGAGCATTTCACAACTAGCACAGAGAATATATGTCAATGTGATGTTAAACAAGACCACTCAATATAGAACTGAGAAAAAGAAACTTACACACTGTTGAGCCCATTGTATAACCTTTCTCTCCTCATCTTTCACATTTTTCCCCTGTTCTTTAGCTTCTTTCTTGTACTTCTCCACCATCACATAATGAACATAGTGATTGTACATGCCCTCCAGTAAGTTGAAGTTTTCAATGTAAGCTTTGTTTATGTTCATATAAGCAAATGCTCCCCCAATTGCCACCCTTCAAAAAATTCTAAGAGCACTGATTCAGCAAGCTTCATTCCACAATGAGTCAGTAGGTTCAAGAAGGTTAAGACCCCAGGCTCAGATCCCCAGCTTAGCAAGAGAAGTTTGAGTCATTTTGATAAAAAATTCTTGAATGTTGATGATATATCATCCCATCTTCCTCTGACCAACTGTAAATCCTTGGAGAGTGAGGATCTCATGGTGGGGAACAAGATCTCATGCCATGCTACTTTCAAAAACATTGTTGATCTGGTCATTGTTGGAAAAGGTGGAAGTGAACTCTCTGATGTTGTTGAGATCTGGAGGTGGAGGTACAGCACCAACTTCAACCATTCCCCACATGAGGTGAATGAAGCAGTAAAGGGCTTCCTGATTATTGTGGACACAAACTGTAGCAACATCTGTGAGGTTATGTTTGTTCACAAGCCAGAGAGAGAGAATGAATAGTGGATTATAACTGAAAGCTCACATACCTTGGTCATTTTGAATCCCTCACTGCCAAGAAAATTGCATTGCATAGAGGCATGCTATGTCACATAGCAGGCCAAGATGCAATGCAATAGGTCTATTTTCCAAGGTCCCTAAGGGACCTTGAAAAATGGTCCATAGTATCACATGAAGACATGCTATGTTACATAGCAAGCTTCCATGCGATGCAAATATCTTGGCAGTGCCTCTGGTGTTTCTTTCATAGTCATCTGATTTTCGTTGCACTTTGGAGAAGGTTTATCAGGTTTGGAAGCAGCTGACTTTTCAAGTGAGGTTCTTGTTGGTGGTTTTGCTGACTTTTGACCCTTTTGTTTTTCTGGCATTTTGAATTGGGTAAAGGATGTTGAAGTTCATGGCTTAGAAGACTGCATCAAGCAGGGGTTCTTGGAAGTGGAAGCTTTTTGTTTTGAAGTTGAAGGTGAGCTGTTAAGTGCCACCTGTGAAGCTGAAGTTTTTGGCTTTGAGATTTTTTTCTTTGATTCCACATCTATACCAAGTGACTGTAAATGCTTCATCAATTCTTCTTGAATCTCATTTTTTTTTTTTAGTTCATGCTGAAGGATCTGAATTTGTTCACTCTGTGCTGATACTGTA